CCCCAAAACCCCAAAACCCCAAAACCCCAAAACCCCAAAACCCCAAAATTAAGGAAATTAGTTGAATCTTTTAAGTTGGATTTTCCCTTACAACTCATGAGGAAGTCGGGAGGCTTGCCTCGCTTTGAAAAAGAACTTATACGACTTCAACTTTGTCTGACTTGAATCCTGACTGAAAGGATGCAAGGGGGTTTTGATATTTGGCTGGAATTTCACATGATATTGCTCTATAATTCAACATATTTCCTCTATTACTGCCAGTCCTGTTTGGAGTCGCTTTGAAACTATTGTGGCACGTCTTGTTGCTCTCCTTTGGAAAGCTTAGGTTTATGGACTCCAGGCGAGACAGAATCACTTTATTCTGAAATTTCGTGTAAATAGGATGCTTTATCCGATCCAATATTGGCTTGACCTGAATAGAATTTAAAATCATTAAGAAACTGATACATACAGGAGGTGTTGTTTGGTAAGATTTGCTTTTAGGTATTTCTGGGGTTGGCTCAAGAAATCTGTCAAGCACCAACAGCTTTTGCTTCTTCTCACTCTGAAGCTTCTATAAAGTATGACCGTTGATGTACACGTTGAAAAGCCTTATTTGATCTTCTTTGAAATTGGTCTAGGGTGTAGTCCTCGGTTACCATTGTTTATTGCTTGAAGGCCTGAATTATTAGCATTTGGAGTATTACCTCTGATTTTACTGATGTTTTTATTGAGAGTTCATCGGCTATAGATCTCATTACTAAAAGTACTTCTTGTAAGGCTTGCTGAGCTGGACCGGCTTTCTACTAATCATTAGCAACAGCTTACACAAGGAGGTTAATATTGTTATCTTTGTTAAGAATTATTTCAGTAATTTTGTTATTCTGTAAATGATCCCTTAAAGGAGAGTGCTTATACCTAGACTCATTATGCTAGCGAATACTTATGACTATCTGCAAACTTTGCAGTGCCTTTATCTGACACAACCTGTATGCATCCATCAGGCAGATGCTTATCTTTACGATTATGTTTCTATATATCAAATGACGGAGATACCAAGCCAAAAATGCAAGAGTCAAAACTCTGAGAGGTTCTTCCCTGAGACTTGGTCTTGGATCGCCCAACGACTTCTATATCTGCAGCTGTGAAGTCTTTGTAGGGGTTCAGGATATCCTTCAAAAACCTAGAATCCTTTCTTTTATGCAGTTTGATACTATTTAGGAATTTTAGTAGATTTTTGAAGCAGCTTCAATTTGCTTCTGCCAATAATTGAAAGGTCTTCCTTGAATCCAGACTCCGGAGAGGACTGAGAGTTGTGGATTCAGTATCTCTTCTTATTTTCTACCTGTTTTTGGTAGTATATTGTGGGACGCATCTGATATCGAGTTGGTTAACGAGTTTACAACTGATCTTTTGATCCTAAATTTGGTTATTTTGTACCAACCTTCGATGAAATTTGGCACTATCAAATGAGGATATTATTAGCCCGTTCGGATTATTGTCAATTAAAGAGTTCCTTGATGAATCTAGCATCTAAATTCTTATTTAGCAATATATCTTTTATGAAAACAAGTTTTTCAACTAAAAATATAAAACTTCTGGTGAAGATGTGAAAATATAGTAAGGAAATTCTCTATAATTTCTTAATTTTCCTCCCTTCTAGCGACCCCAATCCCAACTTAGATAGCTTCCTACAGTTTCATCGCTATGGTCAGTGATCCTGCCAGTCAGGGCTGGTTCATGGGAAAATTTGTGGCACCTGGCAAACATGTGTAATAAGTTATAAAATTATTCAATAAATTGTATGATTAGTGGGGTTTTGGGGTTTTGGGGTTTTGGGG